ACTTTATACTTAACAGTGAAAAGCCAAAGGCTTTTTCTCTAAGATCAGGAACAAGACAAGGATGCGCACTCTTGCCACTTTTATTCAGCATAATACTGGCAGTCCTAGCCAGAGCAAGACAAGAAAAAGCAACAAAAGGCATCCAAATGGGAAAGGAAGAAGTAAAACTGTCTCTACTTGCAGCTGACATAATATTGTATATAGAAAACCCCGAAGACTCTACCAAAAAACTGTTATAACTGATAAATAAATTCACTGAAGTTGCAAGATATAAAATCAATGTACAAAAATCAGTTGTGTTTCTACACACTAAGAAAAACAATCAGAAAAAGAAATCAAGAAAACAATCCCATTTACAGTTGCATCAAAAAGAATAAAATAGGGACTTCCCTGACAGTCCAGTGGTTGACTCCGAGCTTCCAGTGCAGAGGGTGCGGGTTCAGTCCCTGGTCAGGGAACTAAGATCCTGCATGACACGTGGCATGGCCAAAAAAATAAATAAATAAAATACCTAGGAATAAATTCAACCAAGAAGGCAAAAGACTTGTACAGTGAAAACTATTAACACATTGATGAAAAAATTTGAAGAAGACACAAATAAAGGCAAAGATATTCCATTCTTATAGATTGGAAGAATTAATATTGTTAAAATGTCCATACTACCCAGTGCAATCTATGGATTCAGTGCAATCCTATCAAGATTCCAGTGGCATTTTTTCACAGAAATAGAACAATCCTGAAATTTGTATGGATCCATAAAAGACAAAGATAGACAAAGCAATCTTGAGAAAGAACAAAGCTGGAGGCATCAAGCTTCCTGAGTTCAAACTATATTGTAAGCTATAGTAATCCAAACAGTATGGTATTTATTTATTTATTTATTTAGTTTTGGCTGTGTTGAGTCTTCGTTGCTGCATGCGGGCTTTCTCTAGTTGCAGCAAGCGGGGGCTACTCATCATTGCGGTGCGCGGGCTTCTCATTGCGGTGGTTTCTCTTGCTGCTGAGCACAGGCTCTAGGCATGAGGCTCTAGAAGGCAGGCTCGGTAGTTGTGGTGCACAGGCTTCGTTTCTCTGCAGCATGTGGGATCTTCCCGGACCAGGGATCGAACCAGTGTCCTCTGCATTGGCAGGCGGTTTCTTAACCACTGCACCACCAGGGAAGTCCCAACAGTATGGTATTGGCATAAAAACAGACACGTAGATCAGTGGAGCAGAATAGAGAACCCAGAAACAAACCCACACATACATGGTCAATTAATTTCGGACAAAAGTGTCAAGAATATAATGGAGAAACGATAGTCTGTTCCATAAAACTGGTCAGGCCACAAGTAAAAGAATGAAGCTGGATCACTATCTTACACTGTACACAAAAATCAACTCAAAACAGATTAAAGACTTGAACATAAGACCTGAAACTAGGGCTTCCCTGGTGGTGCAGTGGTTGAGAGTCCACCTGCCGATGCAGGGGGCACGGGTTCGTGCCCTGGTCTGGGAAGATCCCACATGCTGCGGAGCGGCTGGGCCCGTGAGCCATGGCCGCCGAGCCTGCGCGTCCGGATCCTGTGCTCCGCAACAGGATGAGGCCACAACAGTGAGAGGCCCGCGTACCACAAAAAAAAAAAAAAGACCTGAAACTATAAAACTCCTAGAAGATAAACATAAGGAGTAAGCTCTTTGATATTGGTCTTGGCAATTTTTTTGATCTGACATCAAAAACAAAGGCAACAAATGCAAAAATAAATAAGTGGGACTACATCAGACCAAAAAGCTTCTACACAGGGACTTCCCTGGTGGTCCAGTGGTTAAGACTTCGCCTTCCAATGCAGAAAGTGCAGGTTCGATCCCTGGTCAGGGAGCTAGGGTCCCACATGCCTCACAACCAAAAAACCAAAACATAAAACAGAAGTAATATTGTAGCAAATTCAATAAAAACTTTAAAATAAAATATAATCTTTTAAAAAAATCAATAAAAACCTTCTGCACAGCAATGGAAACCATCAACAAAATACAAGGACAATTTATAGGATGAGAAAAAATATGTACAAATCATAGATCTGGTAAGGGGTTAATCTCCAAATTATATAAAGAAATCTTACAACTCAATAGCAAAAAAAGTCACAAACAGTCTGATTAAAACATGGGCAGAGGAACTGAAGAAATGTTTTTCCAAAGAAGACATACAGGTGCCCAATAGGTACATGAAAAGACACACAACATCATTAGTCATGGGGGAAATTCATATCAAAACCACAGTGAGATGCCACCTCATACCTGTTAGAATGGCTGTCATAAAAAAGAAACGAGATAAGTGTTGGTAAGGGTGTGGAGAAAAGGGAACCCTTGTGCACTCCTTGTGTAGTGTTTCCTTCATTCATCTGTCAGTGGACACTTGAGTTGCCTCCGCATTTTAGCTATTGTGCATCATGCTGCTATGAACTTGGGTATACAAATTTCTCTTCAAAACCTTGCTGTCAATTCTACAGCACATTTTTTGTTTGTCTACTATTACTATAAGTATATTAAGATAGTTTATTGACTCTCTCTTGGCATTAAATTTCTTTCCCCCTCTTTCCATTGCCATTTATCACACTGCTTCTCACCCCACCCTCCCACCTCTGCTGTACCCCCAACCCCTCCAGTGAGGATGCTGCTCCTCTGTGCTGTCGTGGCCCTGATGCCGACATGTAACTTGTGCCTCCACCTCAGGCCAACTCTCCAGATAGATGTGTGATTAGTTCTGTAGATCATTTAACTTAGGGGGTGGCCACCTTTTTCTGTAAAGGGCCAGATGGTAAATATTTTAGGCTTTGTGGGCCATGTGGCCTCTGTTGCAGCTGCTCGCCTCTACCGTAGTAGTGGAAAGTAGCCAGAGACCAGACTAACTGTGTGGACACAGCTGTGCTCCAGTAAGATGTTATTCACAAAAACAGGTGAAGGGCTGGATTGGGCCTTCAGCCATAGTCTGTGGACTCCTGATTTAAGTCAAAGAGATTTTGTATGCTTTTTGTTTAATCTCAGATCAGAAGGTAGCAGGCTTTACTTACTGCAGCCCAGGAAAAGTGAGAGGAGAAAGGTTTTGAGCCTAGACAGCTGGTGGATTTCCTGCTGGGGAAGCCTGTTAGGTAGATGGCCCCTATTCCAGCCGCCCTGGGGTCATACATTCTCAGCCACAGAGGGGAGGCAAGGACTAGTTCTTCATGAGGAACATACTCAGGAGGTAAGCGGTTGCCCACGTCTTTATCTGGTGTGTCCTTAAAAGACACGGCACTCTATTGACCATGTGTCTAGCGTCTCTAAACTGGATGCCCTAACATCTGCCCTGCATGCCTGTGCCGCACACACCTCGTTCTGGACAGTCCGGTCCCGAGTCACCTTGCCTTGGCTCACGTGTCCGCTGGCACGTGCACCTCTCTCCTCGGGAGGAGTTCTCCTGCTCAGGCATGCGTTTCAAATCTAAACCAACCGATCCAGAGCTCACATCCCAACCACCTCCTTTTTTGGACTCTCACACTCCTGCCCACTACCCACCTGCGCTGATCCCCCAGGACCAAGTCATAGACAGCTAGGGACAGCCCGTGCCCAAGCGCCACTGAGCTCTTCCCTCTGGCCAGTGCTAAACTGCTTGCACTGCCTTACACACCCCTTCCCCCGGAGACCACAGTGAAGTGAAGGCTCTTGCTACAGCCCTCCGCAACCCACCAGCGCCTCCTGACCAACACTAGCGCTTCCCCGTGCCGTCCTGCGTAGGGCACTACGGCCCTCAGCTCGGAGACCGTGAGCAATAAACTATCTTTTTCAATGGCAGTTGTTTCCTGATCTGTTGGCCTTAGCATCCCTCAAGTTTTATGTTACGCACTGTTTTATAGCAGGGCTGTTTAATTTGTACTCTGGTATAAGACCAAGAGTGGAATAAGAGGTGAGTTGGCCTCGCGGTGCGGGATTACCCTGCCCCTTTCTTCCATATTTGTGGCAGCCCTCTCCCCTGGCATAGGCCCACCCATTGTTCCTGGCTGACTCCAGCCCACCTCTTATTCTCGGAGCCACCCACTCCTCTGTTGCCACCTCTCCGTGCAGCTGTGTGGAGCCCCCCAGTTTAACATCCAGTTCTGTATTATTATATCCTGTATGGTTTCTTTCAGGGACGTTGCTTATTTTCCCAGCTACACTGCTGGGTCTCCTTGGGGACCAAGCTATCCAGGGCCAGGGACACAAAGCTCTGTAAGGGAAAGATGGAAGCTTTGACCTCTCCGTGGCTTCACCTCTTGTTAGCTTTGTGGCCTTGGTTTCAGTGCTGATCTTTTCTGAGGTTTGGTTTCCTTATCTGTGAAATGAGGATGAATGGAAATAGTCCTGTATATATATATTGGTATCTGGGTCTGGTGTGCCCTCCCCGTACCAGTCTTAAGATTACAGATGTTTTATGAGGAATGCTTTTTTTTTTTTGCATTAAATAAGTAATGTGACCACATTTTAAAAGTTTCCATATTAGAGAAAAGTAATCACCCATACTCTTTGTACCATAATTCAATTACTATTAGCATTTTGATTTTTTTCTTATTTGTGCATTTTCTCACTTAATTTATTTTAACTTAAGTGTTCTGGTCATGAATTACTTGTAATTATTTTAACGATTTTCATATCCTGCTTTCCTACTTAACATAGTTTTTTTGGACTGTGTACTTTTAAAAATATGGAAGCAATATTTTTATTTTTGATCAATCATAAAACTTATTTTTCTACCCTGTATATTTCATATCTACTGAAATAATATAGTGGTATGAGTTAAGAGTATCATTATGTACTGGCTATGCATGGAATTGGCATGAAGATCCTATTTGTACTGAAATAGCAACTTCAGTTCCTAATCTTTGTATACTTCAAAACTAGTTTAAAAATAAAATGTGACTGTAAAGAAGATGTAGCTTTAATAACATCTGCAGTTAGAAGAAACAGGTCGGTCAGATAGTTTGATTTAATCATATCTTATTTTAAAATTGAAGGTCCATTTTAGCTTCTTACCTTCTGAAAGAAAAGCTCAACATCTTGGGCAAGTTGGGGTGTCTACTAAGCTGTGCGGGTTCTGTCGTGCTGATTATCCACTCCCCGAAATCTGAGAGTGTGACCACTCAGGCCGAGCTGGAGGAGAAGCTGACCAACCCAGGTAACTCAGAGCTGTGGTGCCAGAGAGCTTGCTGCCTCCGGCGCGGTTCTCCTGGCTGGAGCTGTACCCTCCGCCCTGCTGTGGTCTGTCCTCCAGGCCCTTGGTTCCTCTTTGCTCACCACTGTCCTCTGCTGCCCCCCGGGGCTGCCCTGACCCTTTGCTGCCTCCTGGGATCTGGACCTTGTGCATGGACGCCGTCCCCCACCCCGCATCTGTGCGCCCATTCTGCGGGATTGGCCCCAGGCTGCTCCTCTCAGGACCACCATGTGTCCAGACCTCCATGCTTCCCTCTGAAGTGAAGCTCTCAGAGAGCCGAGGTCTGATTTAATTCATCTTTAGAGCCCCCGCAGAGCCCTGTACTTTTTTTTTTTTTGGTATCTACTTTTGACATAATTTCTTTTTTTTTCATAACTGCAATCACCACCACCCCTTCCCCCTGATGAGAGAAAACCCAAAGTACTGCACACTCAGGCCCAGCTGCTTTTTCTTTTCTTCTTCTTCTTTTTTTTAATTAATTAATTTATTTATTTATGGCTGTGTTGGGTCTTCGTTTCTGTGCGAGGGCTTTCTCTAGTTGCGGCAAGCGGGGGCCACTCTTCATCGCGGTGCACGGGCCTCTCACTGTCGCAGCCTCTCTTGTTGCGGAGCACAGACTCCAGATGCACAGGCTCAGTAGTTGTGGCTCACGGGCCCAGTTGCTCCGCAGCATGTAGGATCTTCCCAGACCAGGGCTCGAACCCATGTCCCCTGCACTGGCAGGCAGACTCTCAACCACTGCGCCACCAGGGAAGCCCCCCAGCTGCTTTTTCTGAAATAAAGCCTGCGCACTTGCGTTCAAGCTACTTCTGATTTTTCCACAAACACAGGCCACACTTCGGCGGTATTTTACGTTTGCGCGTGCTGCTCTCTGCCCTCCACTACCCCTTGCCCAGTTTATAGGTTAGGCTCCCAGGCAGCTTTCAGCTGTAGTGTCTTCCTGAATCTTCCCCTGCAGCAGAGCTCCACAGTCTTTTTCTTATCCTTGAGGAAGAGGGGCTCCCACCACCTGCTTGCTGATACACATGTCCAGGCTGTTCCCAGCCCTCAGGCCCAGTGCCTGGCACCCCCTTTACAATCTGGAAGTGAAGTTCATGGAAAATACAACTCCTTGTACATATAATAGCAGTCAACATAATGCCCTAAGAATAGTACTTTGGAATAAAATGGAATGCTCAGGTACAACTATAGGAGAAGACATATTAAAGCCAGCAGACCCCACACGTGTGTGCTGTGAATCTGGCAGGTGCAAAACAGACCGATGTGGAGGTGTTGTGTTATTGACTCAAACACTAAGGATTTTGCCATCAGCAATGGGATCTTCTTTTTTTTTTTTGGCTACGCCAGGTGGCCTGCCAGATCTCAGTTCCCTGACCAGAGATTGAACCTGGGCCCCGCCAGCGAAAGCCCGGAATCCTAACCACTAGACCACCAGGGAACTCCCAGCAATGGGATCTTCTGAAATGGAGTATAACTCTTGAAGTTCTGAAAAATTCAATGTATATTAAATCCTTGCCAAATTACTCTGTTTTACACATAAAACAGGTTCTAGCTCTGATTATTATAAATATTTTCCACTTTCCTGTCCAAGGTGACATTCCGAAGTCATCAGGAGAACAGGATGATTTTTCATTGTGTGGGACCGTCTGCACATCCCAGGACCCCTGGCCTCTGCCCACTGTGTGCAGCCCCCAGTCACTGCAACAGCCAAAAACACCCCTACAGCTTCCCTGCGTGTCCTTTGAGACCCCGCATGACTCCCTTTCTCTCCCACCCCACACGTAGGAGCACTCTCTGCCTAGGGTTTGTTGAGTTGACCATCTTGTGAAATGGTTTTTAAAAAATTCTCAGGACTTCCCTGACAGTCCAGTGGTTGGAGCTCTGCACTTCTGCTGCCGGGGCACGGCTTCGATCCCTGGTAGGGGAAGTTCTGCGTGCCGCACAGTGTGGCCAAAAAAAAAATCTCAAAGCATCTGTGTAGACTTTTACTGTTATAAAAATGTTACTAATAGAAGACTTATTTACTGACATGTAATATATAGGAGCTATGAATGTTTGAATGGTGAAAGTGATGATGGGAATAACTTGTGGAATGAGCTCAGGGGCTGTGGTAAAGCACATCCGGAGCGGTAGGGTGTCCCGGTGACAGTGGCGGGGGCAGGTGGCGGAGCACGTGGCGAGGGCTGCTCTGCTTCGCCCCCTGGGTCACCGTGCGCCCTCTCGTTTCCAGTGTTCGTAGGCTATCTGTGCATCGTGCTGCTCATGCTGCTGCTGCTGATCTTCTGGATCGCGCCGGCCCACGGGCCCACCAACATCATGGTCTACATCAGCATCTGCTCCTTGCTGGGGAGTTTCACCGTGCCTTCCACTAAGGGCATTGGGCTGGCAGCCCAAGACATCTTCCACAACAATCCGTCTAGTCGGCGTGCCCTCTGCCTGTGCCTGGTGCTCCTGGCCGTGCTTGGCTGCAGCATCATCATCCAGTTCAGGTACATCAACAAGGCCCTCGAGTGCTTCGACTCCTCTGTGTTCGGGGCCATCTACTACGTTGTGTTCACCACACTGGTCTTGCTGGCCTCGGCCATCCTCTTCCGGGAGTGGAGCAACGTGGGTCTGGTGGACTTCCTGGGCATGGCCTGCGGGTTCACCACTGTCTCCGTTGGGATTGTCCTTATACAGGTGTTCAAAGAGTTCAACTTCAACCTTGGGGAGATGAACAAATCTAATATGAAAACAGACTAGGATGTAACAGGGGGTTGGATGACTTGAGGAACAGGAAATGGATGTGGCTTCTGGTCCTGATTTGTCATGAAGTAGAAGAGACAGTAAATCGCTGGTGTTGGAGTTGCCTGTATATTAATGGATGGGCTGGTGGAGAGTGAGGATGCGTTGCTCAGCACTGGGGTGGGGGCCCAGCCTTCTGTACTCTGAAGCTGCTCAGTGGTTGCCTGGGTGTCATCTCTCTCTGATGAGAGGAATCTTATGTTCATTGCCATTAACCTGGAAGCTTTCATGAATACTCTTTGCTTTTAAAACACGTCATCGTTATTTAAATAGAATGGGCCTTTTCTGATTAGTCTTTGCAGGGGAACAGATATTCTTACTGAGAAGCTTACTTTGGAAATGGGAGAAATTGTTGTCTTGAAGTCTGACTCTACCGTAAATGTGTCTGTAATTTTATTATTTTGCATTAAGCATGTATAACATTCAGGTGTCGGATCCAAATCAGAGGTATATACATTTAATTGGTTTTAATCCTCTGATGTGTTGACTCTCCTACCCCCAACTCCTAGACATTTTAATTGCAAACAGAGAGAGAAGAGTGAATGGAAATGATATACTGTTCCATTTGCAGGATGATTTTCAATAGCTCAAATCAATTTCAGTGCCTTTATTACTTGAACTATTCACTTAATTTGACTATTACTGTGTGTATGTTCTCTTAGATTAATGCAGCCTCCTTGATTATACTTTAATATTTCACTCTTCAAAACATAAATGTTCAAAGCAGTTAGAAATTATAGTATATTCATTCACTGGAAGAGAGTCAAGACTAAGGGCACACTGGAGTAAATCAGCCCTTTCAGCATGTAGTTATAGTTCAATTAAAGACAATTGACTTAAGTAGCATGAGGTATTTTATTTGCATTCAGTCTAATGTAACTGGGATCCACTATTAAATATATCCATGTTCTCTTTCAGCAAGCATTGTGGCCATTAAGAAGAAATAAATTATTTAACTTGATAATAAGGCTGTTAAATGAGAGAGTAACTGTTCAATAGCACATATGAGTTCCCTGTAATTCAGGAACAAGTTAAAGGACACAATTAAGCCTAGGCTATATTCTACAAACTGGAACATACATAGTTTTCAAAAGAATTTCTAGCAAAAATGAAAACAATTTGTAGCCATCTCCCTGTTGTTTGACATGGCAGAGCACCCTACAATTCCTCAGTCAAACTTCTGAAATGCAAAATAGCCATTAATTATTCCAGTATTTGGATCAAAGAGGTCATTTGGCTATCTATAGTAACCTTGCATGTGTATTAAATGGGAACAAAGCACAGAGTGATACAGATATTCATCAAGATATCATGTACTTCATTTGCAGTGGTTCTCCCACCCCTGCACCATGCGGCATGACGGATCTTAGTTCCCTGACCAGGGATCGAACCAGTGCCCGCTGCAGTGGAAGTTTGGAGTCTTAACCACTGGACCACCAGGGAAGTCCCATGTGTACTGTTTTATCTAAATAGGAAGCTATGCCACGTTGAAAGATGGGATTGGGTAAGGTAGATTTGGTGATACCCAATTAAACAATACCCAATTAAAATTACTAAGGAATGTCAATAGGAAAAAAAAAGTGTTTTTTCAGACAAAAAGAACATTTCTAAAGACCTAAGGAATAGTTCCCTAAAGTGTTGAACAAAGAGACTAAATAAAATGAGGATAGTTTAACATAGAGAAAAAAACACCTTTATGAATTAAAAGTACATGTGATGATCATGGGTTGTCAAGTGATCTGTGAACTAACTGCAGCAAGAATATTTAAAATTTTTTAAAAATCTAACTGTTAGTTAATAAATGCTCAAAAAATGCATTACTCTTTTTATCAGCTCGTGAAGGTTTGTTTTTTATCATCGGTATTTTTAGGAATGCAGGCCTTAATTTATGGAACTGAACTTTCTGAAAGTATAATGCAGGAGTATAAATATACTTTTAGGCATAAAAATCATTTCTAGGTAAGGAGTATGAGATATTCAGAGAATACATGTGGCTATACAAGTATAATGAGAAAGTCCATGTGTCATATGGAAATTACCATTTTTTTGTTTACAGTTTACATGTGAAGCTTAGTTTATTTAAATTCATCTATTGATGTTCCTGATTACAGTTAATCCATGATTATTCCATAGATACTTAGAGGTGATATTTTCTGGATTATCTCCCTATGATTTTTTTTTAGAGTAAAATAGAATCTCAAAGTATTAATAGTTTGTCTCCTCTTGAAGGTGATAAGTCCCAGAACAGTTAGACTCTCCCAAGTTTACATCTGTTCAGCAAATTACCTTGGTAGGATACACAACTTCCCTTCCAGTGGAACACAGTTCATATCATCCATTGTATTCCAAAAGTGTGACTCTAGCCTGGAAGTAATCGACATGACCAGCAGTCTAACAGCCTAATTTTCAAGTTTAACATAGAGCGTTTAATATCTGACTTATAGTATTTATTTTACAAATTCATGTTTTTATAATTTGGAATTACAAAAAAAGATCTAAAAAGTAAAGCTTTGAAGGGTAGGGCCCAGAATGGGGATAGGTCTTATATTGGTCTTTCCAAAAGTAAATACATATAAAACATTTTCATTATTATGGTATTCTTTGGGTTTTATCTTCAATTAAAGCAAGCCTCCTCTAAAATCATATGTTTGTGATATGATATCCAGGCTTGCTCTGGATAGATACTTAAATAGGCCATTTCTCTCCTGTCTTACTTGGACAATGCCTTGTTTTCTCATCTGAATCTTTGCATTTAAAAAGATTGCTTCCTGTTCTGCTCAGTGATCAAGTGTAGGGCCTATTAAGGATTCTAACCCAAACCCAGCACAAAGACCACCCTGGGTGTTTTGCTGTTCTGCAGGACTGCTCCAACTCTGCAAAGAAGGATCCGGAGAGAAGGGCAGTCTGCTCCCTGTCACATGGGGAGCAAGAACTGCCCACGGCTGGACCTTCAGGGAGAATCATCACTCAGATGTTATTATGGTCTTTTCACATTAGAAAATTAGTGAAATACACTTTGCTGCTCTCTGTTCAGCAATAAGAAATATTCCTTCAGGTCCTACTTCTCAGGCCAATTTGATTTATGCAGTTTTATTTCCAGAGGTTCATTCCAGCTGTAGTAGATTGGTCTTCGGGTTTTTCTTTGGGCTTCACGTCTGATAGAAGAGAGCACTGTTGAAGTATGCAGTCACCTCTCACCTTCCTTCTTCCTCGACTGCTCAGCTCTTTGTAAATACTGCGCTCCCTTCTAGAGGCCAGTTCCTAGACATCCATAAAGTGCTTGAGATGCACTGTCTACACGCGTGGATGAGTCCACGGAGACTGAGGTGTTGATCACAGGCCACTGTCGTGCTGCCTAATTCTTGTTGGGAGATGACACCTCTCCTTTCTAAGCTGCTCAACTAACCCAGAAGAGCAGTCTACAGAGCTATGCCCATCACTCTTCTTTGATGCCTACTTGATCCTGACTTAGACTTCCTGGGACTGAGTAGGAACTTGGAAAGAGAAGAAGCTTTAGTTTAGATCTGTTCATTGACTGTCTGATGGGCTTCAGTGGTCTGAAGAAGTTGTCCTTAACTGTGTCTGACACCGCGCAAGTAGTTCACCTATCGAGCAGGATTAGATGGAAACTTGGTGTTCCACCTTCTCAGGGACCAAAAACGTAACATTAACTCCTTAGCATTGACCTTCCTCCCAAGGACATATCTGTGTTAGTTTTTCATATGTTTTACTCATATTCATAGCTAGAGGTCTGTTAGCTTGAGTTAGGAAGAGAAAAGATCAGTCTGCACACCAGTCACACCATAAAACAGTTTATCATATAAAATACCTCAACTATGTGTATTCCTCAATTCCGCCTCATAGTTGAACTGGTGATGAATTTTAAGGTGATTTTTCACATCTGGCCAGATTCTTATACCTCCATCATATACTTGAAAAGATTAAGAATTTTAGGAATGGGAACAAGAATTTGGCCCAATATCTACTCATTTATTTTCGTACACATTTCTCACATGCTATTAAATGCAACAAAGAATTATATTTTAAGAAAATGTAACTTTGTGTTACATCAAAAACATATTGTCTAGTGAAAAGTTGATATTCAGTAGAACAATGATCATGTAAATAAACATCTATTTCAAATGTACCCAATGTGATAAAAAGCATAGTCTAGGGCCCAGTGCGTGAGCCGGGGAGGATTTATTTGTTCTTTTCTCTGTTTTTCCTTGAATTGTGCAACTATAGGTGAGTCACTTAACCTTTCTGTGCCTCAGTTTCTCTACCTCTAAATGGTGGGATGGGTCTCCAAATCTGTGTTAGAGCACTCACGTGTTTAGTTTGTGCTGGTAGCCTCAGACCAGAGCGCATGTGCAGGACTCCTTTGGAGCGATGCACCATGCATCCTGTCTGCTCAGGACCATGCTGTAGACAACACACAGCTTCGAGCACTGAGTAAGCAAAGGAAGCACTGGGTGTAAAGTCTGCATGATTCCATGAAGCTTTAATTTTCTTTTTTTTTGTTTTGAAAGGCAGGGTTTTATATTTTCTGTTGTAAAATATGGAAATTAAGCAAGGACTTTAAAAACCTGCACTGAGAGATCACATTCTGATGGTGTGATGAGCTTCTCTGACGTTCTGAAAAGGTTTATGTTCTGCAGAAGAATCAATGACTTGTGAACCAGATTGATTCTGTTGCGTTGAATTTGTAATGAATGATGCTGAACTTCCTGCTTCCAAGCGGCTCAACCCTGACCATGCACTACCTGACACCAGGTAAATGTCAGGAACTCCCAAACCACTAGTGCCAAAGGGTCACATTTAAAAGTACAGAATATTTCTTTTATTTGTCAGACTATAATAATTTGCTCCCCCCTGCCATGTCAGTGTTTTTGCAGTTTGGAAAAATTTAAGGGTACTGTTTTTCAGTAGCATTCCTGAGTGTTTTTGCCTTTTTAAAT